ATATAGATAATAGATAATATATTATACACACACACACAGAGAACGGCAGCATTGTTATATGTATGTATAGATAGAGAGAGAGACATCATGCTTAGAAGGGTAGAAGGTCTGCATAGGAGAGGAAGACCCCGGGTGTGATAGATTGACACAGTGACTGTAGCAATGAGGACATGGGTGTCAGAGATGGTGAGGTTGGCTCAGAATAGGGCAAGTTTCAGAGTAATTTTTTCATGGGGTCGTTACAAATTGTAGTCAACTCGAACTTAAATGGCACATAACAACAGCAGCAGTGTGTGTGTGTGTGTGTGTGTGTGTGTGTGTGTGTGTGTGTGTGTGTCTTAACTGACTCCTAGCTGACTCTCCAACAGGATTTCAGAGGCAGTTAATTGGAAGGGATTTAACAGATCTAATCTATCATCTATCTATCATCTATCATCTATATCTTGGTTCCTACTCGACGTTTGTGTTTTTTTGCTGTTTGGGTGGTTTTTTAATTTTACTTGCAGCCACAATGAATGCCCATGCAAACAGCAAGAAATATGTGTTGCACTGGGCAAATCTGCATCAGAAAAGCTCTTTCAAGTGTTAAAAAAAAAAAAGCAAAAAATGTCATTTTGAAGGATAAGGGGCACCTGTTTGCAAGCCATTAATATTTACAGTTACCTTATATGCATAGGATAGCTGGTCAATTAATAAGGAGATCGAAGAATTAAAAGCAATTTTACTGCTCTACAGAGCAGTTTACCTAGCAGGGTTGCTGAATCTGAACTGACAAAATGGAAGAGAGAGAGAGAATTTTGAGGGCAAAATGCAAAGCTGGCCTAGCTTATGCAATATTGGGGCCAGGAGCTGTTCAAGGAACTGAGAAACCACAAATCCAGTCACGACTTTCCAAGCAGCTTGGTGATAAGTCAGATTTGTGAAATGACACAATGAGTTAAGGGGTATAATTAAGGAGGTGTTGCACAGGAGGGTGGTGGAGGTGCGGAGATCTGGAAGGAGATGTGGCTAAAATTCCCTCAAGAGCGGGGATAGGAAGGCATCGCTTCTAGATCTCAGAAGATACAACCGTGGGATGGAAAGTAAAATGAAGAAATATTAAAAGTGAAGAAAGACAGGGAAACAAAAGGGGAAGAGAAAGGAAGGGCTCGATGCGATCGGCGTTCCGGTCTTCGGGCTTCGACTGCTAAGTCTGGCGCGGTGGCCGCCCACTCCTCGTCCCGCCTTGTCCTGTCCGCTCGGCCCCCCGCCCCTCCCGCGCCGCCGCAGGCCCGGCCTGCCAGAGCTGTTCGGCGGCTGCTTGTCAGAGAGGCCATGTACCGGCTCCTGTCTGCAGTGACGGCGCGGGCCGCGACCCACGGCCACTGGGCCCAGGGCTGTGGGATGCGTGGAGTCCACCAGCGCTCCAGACTGCCGCCGCTCGGCTACGGCTGGGTCGGCGGCCTCGGGCTGGGCCTCGGGCTGGCTCTCGGGGTGAAGCTGGCAGGCGGGCTGAGGGGCGCAACCCCCGTGCCACCTCCCGCCGCCCCCGACTCGGAGACGCCTCCTCAGACTGAGCCGCCGCTGCAGTTGGAGCTCGCTCCGAGCTCCGCGCAGACCCCGGCCACGGCCCTCTCCAGACGCTTCGCCCGAGCCATCGAGAGCAGCCGCGACCTGCTGCACAGGATCAAGGTGCCGGCGCCAGGGTTTGGGCAGCCGGGGACCCCTGGCCGCTTCCCGGACTAGACGTCCTCTGGCATCACCCTGGAATATGACCCCTATGGCTATCCACCTGGGGTCAAGTAGACCCCACCCTGAATTTCCGAGAAAGACTCCTCATTGCCCAACAGCCTGGTCACAGTCAGCTGCTCCGGGGTTGCCTAAATTGGGGCGGAGATCACCACCCACCACGGGGACAATCCCCAGTTCCTCCAACCCAGCTGTTCCGGCACACCCCTCGCAAAGGGAGACTTGTGCGGAGGTGGGCGGGGAATGGGGCGGGGGCCTGTGTGATAAGAATAATAAGGGGCGTGGTCTGGTTTAAGGGGCGGGGCCTGACCTCTAAGAGGGTAGACCTGACGCTGGTGGGCGCGGGTGGCGGGGAAATGGGATCCAACCTTTCCTTGAAATGTTTTCTCCTTAATTCTTAGGATGAGGTGGGAGCACCTGGCATAGTGGTTGGAGTTTCTGTGGATGGAAAAGAAGTCTGGTCGGAAGGTGGGTTCTGAAAAGTGTTTATTTAGTGGTCCATTTTGTGCCAGTTGGTTAATGAAATCTTAATGTTTTTCTCCTTGGCATAATTCCTAGCAAATGCTATTCAGTTTCCTAAAATCATACATATTGTAGAAAACATATGTCTAGCGGAATAACGATTTAAGTAACAGCGAGATTTAAATGGTGACTAATGACTAGTTTGAGCCTTAAAGAGGACTTGCTCTATTGCCACTTTTCTATTGTTAAGTGCTGTTGAGTACAGCTCATAACAACCCTATGAAAAAATAGATCTGAGCTCTGCCCTATCTTGTGCCATCCATATAATCCGCAGCCCATTTTAGTCCATTGCCATAGACACTATCAATCTATCTCAATGAGGGTCTCCCTCTCCTTAACTGCATCCAAGGAACATTCTGGTAGCAAAGTCTCCAAAACATATCTGTTTGTTCTTTTGGAAGTCCAGGGAATATTCAGCACTCATCTCCAACACCACTGATTCTTCTTCTGTCAACTTTATTCATTGTCCAGCTCTCAGATGCATAAAAGGTGACTGGAAAGACTGGGCTTGAATCAAGCTCACCTTTGTCTTTTCAGGACTTCGGAGAGATCCCCGATAGCTGACTTCCCCAATGCTCTATGTCTCCTAATCTGACTGCTGGTGCCAAGGGTGTCCACTAGGAATCCCAGCAAGATAAAATTGTTGACAACTTTAAGGTTTTTTCCTTCTATCATGATGTTGTCTACTGGCCCAGTGGTGAGGATTTTTGCTTTCTTGATAGATGTAATCCATATTGAAGCCTGCAGTCCTTTATTCTCTACAGCAAATGCTTATAGTCCTTCTCACTTTGAGCAAGCAAGCTTATGTCATCCACATAACACAGGTTGTTGATGAGCATTCCTCCAATCCTGATGTCACACTCTTTATCATAAAGTCCAGCTTCTCAAATTAATTGCTTAGCATACTGATTGAATGGAGACACCTTTCCTGATTTAACCATGCAGTGTTCCTTTGCTCGGTTCACATAACAACTTCCTAGAAGTTATAAATAAGTGTTCCAGAATTCCCATTCTTCTCAATATTAGCCATAGTTAGTTGTAATCCACACAGCCCAATGCCTTTGCATAGTTAATAAAACGCAAATAGACATTCTTCTGATAGTCTCTGCTTTCAGCCAAGATCCATCTGTCATCAGCAATAATATTCCTAGAGCCACAACCTCTTCTAAACCCAGCTTGAACTTCTGACAATTCTCTGTCAGTGTACTGCTTTAACGGTTTTGGCATAATCTTTGGCAAGATTTTGTTTGCATGTGATATTAGTGATATTGTTCGATAATTTCCACATTCTGTTGAATCACCTGTTTGGGGGAATGTGAATAAATATGGATCTCTCCCAGTCTGTCAGCGTGTATCATCTCCAGGGATGCATCTTGTTATTTGGAACATGTCACATCAATTCCTAGGACCTTATTTTTTTTTCCCCAGTGCCTTCATTGCAGCTTAAACTTCTTCCTTCATCACCATTGACTCTCTATCATATACTACTTCCTGAAGTATTTCAATGTCAGCCAGTTCTTTTTTAAAAAAAAACAAACAAACTGGGTTGTTGGTTTTTGTTTTTTTTTATTTAATACACTTATTGTGGTTTTGGAACAAAGATAATAACCCTTTTATTATTTGAAATATTCTATTTCTATTTTCTGTTTAGCTCACATCCATTTGTAATATCATTACTACAACTTGCCTTGCACTATACTATTTCATATATATGATTTCATTTTATTTCAGAACAAAGCAGTGAAGGTTTTAGTACTACAGTATAACAGATAAGAGAAGTAGGGGTACATACTGAAATGTTGAAGAAACAATTTTTCCCTGAGATATATTCCAGATATATGATTATCCTGGTATTTACACAAGATATTTCAAAGATCATACTGAATCTCAAAAAAGGAAAGAAAAAACAAAACCCATCATAGGAAGGAAAATGTGCATGAATGAATGAATAGTAATTATTTTTAAAAATTTAAAAACCAAACCTTTCATTACTTTCAAATCAGAATCAATTCATAGCTGACCCTTCAGCAGGTTTTCGGGAGATAGTAAATTGCCTGGAAAGAAATTACCTTTCTTTCTCAAACAGAGCAGCTGATAGATTCAAACCACCAAAGAGGCAGCACTTTTTGTGTTAACAACACAACTCCTACAGACTATGCCACCAGACCTCCCTATTGTTCTTTGATTTTTTTTGTCTTGTTTTTATCCTGGGTTTTTTTTCTCTTTTTTTAATTTATTATTAATTTCAATGAAAATTTATAAGAGACTTTGGATTTCCATTGTTGCACTTTTCACCCCTCCCAACCCTCCCCCCTCGTACACTTGGAAAAGTAAAAGAAAAATTCTTTCACTGTTTTACAATCCCTCCTCTCAGGTCCACTCCACTATTCAGCCTTCACTCTGGACTCCTGTCATGACAAAAATACCTAATCACATATCCCTCTTAAACAGTTTTCTGCCTCATCTGTTTTCAATGCAGTATACATTACTGAACCCATCTTTCTTAGTCTCTCCCCAAACCTAAGGTCAGTCCTGTTTTACAACAGTGGCAACATGCAGTATTTGTCCTTTTGTGACTGAGATAGTTCACTCAGAATAATGTCCTCCAGGGTCACCCGTTTTTAATGATATTGCATGAGTTCCTTGTTTTTCAATGCAGCATAGTATTCCATTGTGTGAATATACCACAGCTTCTCTATCCATTCATTTGTTGATGGGCACTTTGGTTGTTTCCAACTCCTTGATATTATGAACAAAGCCGTGATAAACATGGGTGTGCATATATCTGCTTTGATGTCAGTTATGGTCTTTTTGGGGTGTATTCCCAGTAGTTGAATTGCTAGGTCAAATGGTATCTCTATTTGCAACTTTTTGAGAATGCACCATACCGCCTTCCACAGTGGTGGTAACAACCAGTTCTTTTTGTACAGTGATGCCATGCATCCCATCTGCTTTCTTTTGAAGTTTCCTGGATCATTTAAGATGTTTCTCTTAGCATCGAGTATGGCAACTCAACACTTTAATTTGGTTTTCAGTTCTTTCAGTTTGAGAATGCCAAACAAGTTCTTTTTTTTTTTCATTCTCTAACTCCATATCTTTGCACATTCCTTTATAATACTTTGCTTTTCTTCTCAAGCAGTCTTTTGAAATCCTGCTCATCTGTTTTACTTTTCAATCTCCTCTTTGTTTTGGCTTCTCAGTGCTCTGCTACAATTTTTAGAGTCTCTCCTGATATCCATTTCGGTCTTTCTCTTCTGTCTTTGTGATGATCTTTTGCTCTCTTCATGAATGATGTCTTTAACATTATCCCACAGTTCATTTGGTCTTCAATCATCTGTGTTCAGTACCTCTAACCTGTTCTTGAGATGATTATTAATTCAAGTAGGATAGACTTAAGGTCTTATTTTGGCTCTTGGAAACTTCATTTTCTTCAACTTCAGTTTGAACTTGCACATGAATAATTGATGGTCTGTTCCATAGTCAGCCCCTAACCTGGTTTTGATTGCTGATATTGAGTTCTCCAGAGATTCTTTCCACAGATGTAGTCAACTGAATTCTTGTGTCATACATCTGGTGAAAACCATCTGAATAGATGCCATTTGTGTTTCTTAAACAAGATGGTTGCTATGAATAAATCATTGAATATACAAAACTCAGTCATTTAATTTCCAGCCTTACTTTTCTCCCCAACTCTATAATTTTCAACTACCAATCCTTTTGTTTCTAACTTTTGCATTCCAATCGCCAGTTATTAAAGTGTCTTGACTGCATGTTTGGTCCATTTCAGACTGCAAAAGTTGATGGAACTCCTCAATTTCCTCTTCTTTGGCTTTAGCTATTGGTCTCTATATTTGAATAATAGTTGTATTAATACATATTCCTTGTATATGTATCCTATCACTCACAGCATTTTGCTTCATGATAAATCTTTTTTACTATGAATGCAAAACCATCCTTCCTCAATCTTTAATTCCTACCATACTTTTCTAGTAGGACAGAATTTGTTGGTCCCAAAGCTGTATATAGACCTATTTGTTAACTGTTAATTTGTAAGTAAGTGTCCAGATAAGAGGTAAGAATTTCTGTGCTTTTCCCATATCACAGTCAACAATGAGAAAAACATCATAGTTGGTAGAGGTTCAGCATAAAAAAGGAAGCCCCTCAATGAGAAGGATAGTAAAGCAGAGATTGTGAAGATGGCACAAGTTCAGTCAGTATTTCATTCTGCTGTACATAGGCTACTGAGGTAAAGTCAACTCAATGGCACCTAACAATTCTATACTGAGCAGGTGCTGTTGTTGTTATATACCATTGAGTCACCTGCGACTCATAGTGACCCTGTGTACAATAGCTCTGAACCCTGCCCTATCCTGAGCACAGTATCACTGACTCCAACACACCTAATCTCATTCCTCAGTTTCTGTGTCTTATCAATCTCATCTTGGGTCTTCCTCTCCTGTGCCATCCCTCCACCCTACCAAGCAAGATACACTTCTCCAAGAACTGATCCCTCCTGGTCACATGCCCAAACTATGTGAGATGGAGCTTCAAAATCTTTGCCTCCAAGGAGAAATTTGGTTTCACCCTCTTTAAGACCTCTTTGTTCACCTGGAAGTCCATGGTTTGGACTTCTCTAGCTCCACAGCTCAATGGCATCAATTCTTTTTCTGTCATCCTTAGTCATTGTTCAGCTCTCTGATGCATAGCAAGTAATTGCAGAGATGATGGCCTGGATCAAGTGTGCCTTAGTCTCTAGGCTGACATCATTGCTTTTTAGCACTTTGGAGAGATCCCTGACAGCAGACTTCCCTAATGCAATTCCTCTTTTGATTTCCTGACTGTTGATACCAGGAGTGTTGATTGTGGAGACAAGCAAGTTGGAAATTGTTAACAACCTCAACCTCTTCTTCATCCATCATGGTGCTTCCCATTGGCTCAGTCTTGAG